AGACAACCATTCACACTCACATTCACACCTACAGACAGTTTAGAGTCACCAGTTAACCTGCATGTCTTTGGACTGTGGGAGGAAGCTGGAGTACCTAGAGAAAACCCACGCTGACACGGGGAGAACATGCAAACTCTGCACAAAAGAATTATAGATTTGTAATATTTCTTTGTTTCTGTCCCTCAGGTCAGCACTCAGCAGGTATATTCCCTACCTCGGGGTATTGCTGTGTGTTACTGGCCGAGACCGTTTCAGCAGCAGCAGTTTCCAGTCCACCCGCCGATCAACCCTCACCAGCCAATCAGAGTCCAAAGGCCCCAGCAAGCCCCGCAACTCCTCCTTGTCTGATAGCGAATCAGTGAGTGTACCTCATATCTAATCTGGTATGTCTCTGTCTTACACTTCCAATGACAAATGCTCTGATTTACGAGTTGCTGATTTTAGTCTCGTGTGTGTGCGCGGGTGATTTTATCTGTGTGTTGTCTCAGGCCCACTTCTCAGACACGGAGGAGGACTGCTCGTCTCGGGCACCCGTCATTCGTCAGTTGTCTGGTGATGTGAAACAGGTGCGCCATGCCAGCCAGAGGTCAAAGGTGAGAGGTCACAACACGGGAGAGTTTGAGAGAACCGCTGCACACAACCCCACTGACCCGGCCATATGTCACCTCTCACAGATCACAGTGAGTACTGGGGCCTGCTTAATGTCAACATACTGTTACTTACATACTTTAATGTGCATTGGTATGTATTAAACTGAGGCTTTATGCAATCTGAAAGTCATGCATTTCTAACTTTATTACTCTGAGTCTCAGATAGGTGTCATCAGACAGAGACAGAGTGTCTTTTTAGGGCTCAGTTTAACTTTTCTCACGTTAGTTTTGTTTCTGTTTTGTCATTACGTCAAGACCGATCTTAACCCTCTTCTCCTAAATTTGAGACGTGAGGTCATGTTGTTTTGGAGTCCTGTTAAAGTCAATAGACGTCATGTTTATGTTCAGCATTACATGGCAGGTAACTCAATGAGGTCATGTTGACTGGCGCCCTCTTAAAATCCAGACTCCTCACAGTTATGAACGGGATTCCTCAGCTTGTTATCTGATGCGGTCATGTTGCTTTGGTCTTGTGACTGTACGGTTTGATTTTGTGATCCCAGTGTTTCAGTGTCACATGGAGTCTGGTTCACACTCTGAACTGTCATTAAGTCACAGATGTTAAGGTTCCAGGGAGAAAACAGAAGCTCCTAGCCTTGCAGGACTTTCACATTATTTTCTTAACACCACTACCAAGACCCCTCAGCTGAAAGAGAGACACAGCAGGGACCTCCCTACTCATGGATGGATTACTGAATGAGCCTACAGGGCACAGGCCCAGGGGCCAAAAGTGTCAGGGCCTCAATCCCTAGCCTTCGCCTGCACTCAAATTAACACATACTGATCAGGAAGAGACTCAAAATGGCATTAAAGAGACACAGTCACCAATTAACCTGCATGTCTTTGGATTGTGGGGGGAAAACCTAATGGGTAACTTGATATCAGTGTTTCATTTTTAAATATCACGGTTATTGTCAGTTCCTTCAAAGCACTTTAAAACATCGACAGTGAAGATTCTCAGTCATCAGTAAGACATGTTGTCCTACCGCTCTGTCAGCATTAGTTGGGGGGTGGAATAGCTTTAGAGACCCCCCACTCTAAAACCTCTGAAGCTGGAAAAGACATTAACACCCACCTCACGCCGTCATTTGTCAGCTGTGTGGAGGTGAGGAAGTACGCTGGGTTTGAACTTCTCTCTTGAACTCTCTTTTTCATACTTTACACAACTTCACTCACTTTACATGTAAACAACCAAGTGCAACTCTTTGAATGTCTTTCAGGAGAGACTGTCTGAAAATTTGGGCTAGTATCCCCGTATGTAAACAATATCGGATTTCCCCCTTCTGTATGACGGCCGACTTTTCACCTCGCTTTGGAATGTAGCAGCTTGGATCAGGTGGCCACAACATGTGACTCTGATGAGCCACTTGCACTTTTTACACTGCCTGTTCAAGGTGGGAATATCACACCGTTATGCCGCCTTGCCGTTCTGTATAAAAGGTGCTATGGAGGAATGGGGGGGGCAGAGTTGTCTCACCTCTGAGCCGGGAATGGAGGTAGTAACTGTGCTGATATCTGTGTAAATGGGACAGCCGGCAGGACGGGACCATGGGCGACAGGGGTGTGACGTTTTGCAACCCCCTGGATATTTAAAAGGAAGCTGGTAGCAGCTGGCGGCTAACTCGAAGTACAGTGGCTGAAAATGTCCACAAATTAGAAAAATAATGACACATGGGAGCTCTTTACCCTCCAAGCAAAGAACGGGATCAGCTGCCAAATAACAGCAATGGTAGATCATTGTTATTGCCATGTTATGCCACTGTTATTGTTTATAAAGCGCTGCGGACGCATGCGTTATTTGCTACACTAGAGGCTGATGCTATTGTATTACATGCCACGCCTCTTTTGAATCCGAGATGCCCGCACGCTGTCTAAAATCACACACGGGAGCAGCACGAGGGCGGCATAAAGAAGGGACCTCGCCCTATAATGCGATCTTTTAAAAGGGCTTCACATGATAGCCAGGTGGACCAACAACCCACATGTGACCTCAGCACCTCTCAAGGTGTAAGCAACCTTGCAGAGGTTTGAGGGACAGTTCACACCAAAATCAAAACTAAATCTAAATCAAAACTGAACTACATTCGCCAACCGTATTACCGCTCAGAAGAAATGGTGCATCTACTGTTAGCTCACCTAGCACCACTGGACGTCGCCACATTAATGTTTGGATCTCACACTATGATGAGTAGATGCACACTTCCTTTTGTGTGATGATAGATTTCGAGAGTGTTCAGTAGAAAGAAAATAGTCCCTACATGAAACTGCTCACAACAAGGTCTGGATTATCTTGTGTAACCGGGTCATGGTTTATAGAAAGAGACATCGTTGGAGAGTTTTTCAAACATTTTTTTTTTCTTTGAGCACCACAAGCCAAGTGCCATCTACTTCCATTGACTCAGCAGTTGTTGAGTGTCTAAGAGTATTAGAGCGTTAATTTAGGCCGAGCATTGAAGTCTTGCTTTCATCAGCTAACAGGCAGCAGCTGTTTTATTTATGCATCACGATCGATGGCTCATTTACCAGCTGGGTGACTTGAATAATCACCTTTTGTTTTTACCTCCTTACTGGTGGTTTAATATGATATATTATGAATATCTTTAAAACATGATTGATCACTTGTTTGTTGGCCAGTTTGCTCCTCGTTTTTAAGTTGTACCAAGTGGAGTTTCAGCCAATAGGAAATACTGTTTGACTGTAAAAAAAGGAAAACATCCTCTTGTATAGTGAGCTGTATTAAAGCGATGTGCATTATGT